TGACAAATGATGCTGAAACATTAGAGAGGATGTTTGATGAAGTGGTGAAAAAAAGTAGGAATAGAAAATGTTGTACAATATATAACAATCAATGATGCCTCATTCAAAGCTACTGAGAAATGGTTTGAAGCAAAGTACAACACATTTTTTTGGTCTCCTTGTGTTGCCCATTATATTGTCTTGATGTTACAAAATTTTTTTGATGCAAGATACTTTCATATAATTGATAGTAGTATAGGAAAGTTAAGAGAAGTCACAAAGTTCATATATAATCATTTACGGGTGCTAGCATTAATGAGGAAAGACTACACAAATGGGAGAGATTTGTGCCATCTTAATGTTACAAGGTTTGCTACCCACTTTTTGATCATCCAATGTTTATTGAAATTCAAGAAAAAGCTTAGACAAATGTTTACAAGTGATGCATAGGTTAGTGCTAGGTATGCAAGAAGCAATGTTAGGAAAGAAGTATGTGAAATTGTCTTGAAAGATACATAATTTAGTCTAATTGCATATTGATTGTCAAAATAAGTGAACCTTTGGTGAGACTGCGTCAACTTGTGAACAATGAAGAGAAGCCAAGTATGGGCTACTTGTATCAGGTAATATACAAGACAGTTAAAGGAGACAATAAAAAAGAACTTTAATAATAAGTTGTCTCAATATATGCCTTACATTAAGGTGATTGATGCTAGAAAGGATAAGCAACTTTAAAGCCTATTACATGTAGGTGGTTGCTTTCTTAATATAGTTATATACTTTAGGCCTAACTTCAACAAACAAGCTACTGTTACAAAAGACTTACTTAATACCTAAACAACATTGATACTGGATGAGGAGAAGCAAGATCTCATTAATTTACAACTTGAGGAGTATAAATAAGCTACAGGGACTTTCGGCATTAATTCAGCTATTTGTCAGAGAGAAAAGTTAAATCTAGGTAATTTTCTTTTATCTTAGCTCTCTTTTCATTTTATTTAAAAAAATTCTACCTTATTTATTTTAATGCACATTGTATTTTATTGTTTTTATAGTTGCATGGTAGGATCCATTTAGAATGAATACACCAGAATTGCAAAAGTTTGCAATTTGAGTACTTAGCCAATGTACAAGTGCAACTAGATGTGAAAGGAATTAAAGTGCTTTCGACTTTATTCATTCTAAGAATAGGAATAGGCTAGAGCATAAAAGGTTGAATGCCCTTATGTTTGTGCATTATAATTTGAAGCTCCAAGAAAGGTATAATCTTTTAAAAGTATTATAGTTGCTTTAGTTTTTGCATATACTTAGCTTTCTTTTTTTCTTTTTTTCTTTTTTCCTTCTTTGACTTATTAATTGATCTTATAAATTTGATTTTTTATTTTTGCATATGTTTTATGTATGTTTATGTTTTGTATTAAAATCGAACAAGTGTAAGTTATGATTTATGTTTGTTTATAGAATTATTTATAGAGATAAAGAAAGAATAGATCTTTTTAGTCTTGAAAATATTGACATATTAGCTAATTGGGTGGTTGAAGAATAAGCTCTTCTTAATAAAGATGATAATGATGTGGATTTGGCAGCTATTGATAAGTTTTTTCCAAATTAAAACCTTGATGATATTGATCCCACAGGTTCCTAAAAATAAAAATGAACAACTTTGGGTTGGAGTTGGTGGAGTTATAGGTTATGGAATTACTTCAGTTGAGGATCCTTATAATTATATCTAAAATAATTAGTAATATATTAGAATTAATTTTGCTGTTTGTTCATAATTGTCCCTTGACAGAGTCAATTGAAGAACTCCTATGATGAATCTCTAGGGTGTCTATTTCTAATATTGTAATAATGGATGACAATTGCCTTTTTTTTTCTTTTTTTTGGCTACTTCACATGGGTAATTAGTGGAAATTTGATACAATGTGTTTGGAATATAGAAAGAAGACTTTTCATCATTTAATCTTTTTAACTTTTCTAAACTGAATGTGATTTGCTATCATATGTTTAGTGATTATGATTATCTTAATGTCTTTAACTTAAACGGTCCAAAAGACTTTTGCTTAGGTTATAATGGGGTTTCGGTTAATGGTTGAAGAAAGAAATGCTTGTTATCAACTCAAAAGGTTTCTCCAAATCTTATCCCCAATTACATTAGTTTCCCTTATAATTATTTTAAAATTTAATATTTAATTTATAAAAATATATTTTTAGAGTAATAAATCTGAAATGATACATAAAAAATTTTGGTATCTACTATATACCGTTTTAATAGGAAAATTGATACGTTTATCAATATGATATTAACTTCTTTGATTTCCACTTCACAGTCGAAGCAAGCTAAAAGAACAAGTACTTGGAGTTTAGAAAAAATTTTGTAGCCCTTTTCACCTAATTGTTATTTTTAAACAAACATCTTTGCTTTTTCCTTTTTAGTTACTTTCAATTGTTTTCTTCGTTTTTCCTCTCAATTGCTTTGCAATTTCCATTTATAGATGAATCAATGAGGGAAAAAGTGAATCAAAGATGCAAGAGAAATGAAATCAAAGAAAGAAATGAAAAATACAAGATATAATGGAAACGAATTGATAAAAGAGTGAATTTAGGATTTCCTTTGTTGGAAATGTTTTTTATTTATGTGTTATTGGTTGTCAATAGAGTGAATGAAAGAATTCATTTGAATCTAGGATAGAAAATCAAGAGGAAGAGGGCTAATTTTGGTTGTCGATTAAAAGAGAAATTTTAGTATTGAAGTGAAGAGTGAGGTGGACAAAAATTGAGAGCATTCAAAAAATTGGGGAAGGAATTTTGAGATGAGTTGGAAATAAAGAGTTGTGTGTTCTTAAAATAACTTTTAGGGTCTATACAGACAAACATCATCAATATACACCCTTTATTGGAACGTAAGTGCTGTTTCTTTAGACTTCCGTTTGTGCATGTCACTTCACTTGTAGTGTGGGATCCATATCACGTAAAGTGAGTAAGTCATTCAAAATCTCTTCAATGGTGCAACCAAGCGTATCCCCAAAAATTGCTCCCATGGTAGATTTTTTGTTAGTTATGGTTTCTTGCAAGTCTTTCATTTGATTAATTATCAACATTGCACTAGTTTGGGGTTTCTTTCCTTTGTTAGCACTTTTCATTTGTTTTGTTTGTGAACTGATAACCCATCAGTCTTCTCATGTTTCTTTCCAATGCTCCTAGATTTTTACCCAAATTTTCATTTTCAGAAACTCCAAGGTTAAATTTTCTAGAAGTAAATGTAGTTCCACTCCTTATGAATTCTTCTAAATTATGTTCAAAGTTTTTCTCTAAACCAATAGTAGTATTTTCACTCACTACTTTATCAATTTTTATTACATCAATTTCCTTAGGTTGTTGACCAATAGAGGAAGAAACTGTAGGACCTCCTCTTGTCATATTATCAAATAGTAACTCATATTTATCAAATAGTTCCTTTCATATACCTTTCTCTCACAATTTTTCATATTCTTAGTTTTCCTAAAACATAAACCAAATTTATTATTTATAATTAATTAACTACTAAAATTAGTCTATAAAATATTTAAGAATTAAAATATATATTTAGCTGAATCCTCTCTTTGCAAAATTCAAAAGGAGTACCTACAGTCCTAGTAATAAAAATATTAATAAAATAAGACCTTAACTCACTATTCTTGATATTTATAAAAAAAAAATATTAAAAAAAAAACTCATTATTCTCTGTGCATAATAAGAATACTATATAAGAAATATGCTCAAAGGTAAGTTTAAGGAATAAAAGCAATGGCACCTAATCAAAAGGTGAAATTGATGCTACTACTTAGTTGCAATAACAACTTATGTGGCCAAAGTTCAACAAAAAAATATTGATATTTTGTTAGCTTAATATGTGACATGTTATATCTTGTTGTATAACCAATCTTTAAATTAATGAATGGAATTAAATCGTGTGCAAAGAGATAAATTATTCACAAAAAGTGGTGGATAGACTTAAAAAAAAAAAAGAAGATATTGTTGCAAACAACTTTGTACTGGTGGTTAAAACAAAGCCTATCTATTGTGCAAAAAAGAAATTAGGTTAGAGTGAAGGTTAGATGTGCCTGTTTATATATTTAATTGTAAATAAAACTAAAAAATTATAATCCATTAGTGATTTAGTATAAAAAGTTCTTGCAGGCGGCTTGTTAAATTCATTAGTAGTTTGAACTCTAACCACTATTTACTAGTTCTAAACTATTATATAATAATTTTTACCAAATACTTAGTTTATGGTAATTTCAAAATAGGTAAGTTTACTGAACACCTATATTATAATGGTTTGGACAAAACTGCTAATTGTTACCCTTAAACATTATATCAAATGGACTCTTATTCGAAATCCAATATAATTTCTAAATATTGAGAAGTTATTAAAAAAAAATTTCTTTCCTTCAACTTTAATATATTTGATTTGATGGATAAGTATTTGAAGATAAAGAATTTTTCTAGAGATGTTTCTATACAAAATCATAATTATTTATTTTTTATTATTAATAAATAAGATTATTCATTAAAAAATAAATACTC